TCTCTCTCTCTCTCTCTCTCTCTCTCTCTCTCTCTCTCTCTCTCTCTCTCTCTCTCTCTCTCTCTCTCCCTGATCGGATCATCGAGTGTCGCCATGACATCCGACGTCATGGGGCAAAAAAAACACTGCAAAATGTGGTTATTTTTCGTACGTTCAATTTCGCGAATTTATGAAAAATCTGCCTGTTTTAACGAAATCTCTCTCTCTCTCTCTCTCTCTCTCTCTCTCTCTCTCTCTCTCTCTCTCTCTCTCTGACTGATTGGGGCAAAAAATCACTGCAAAATGTAGTTTTTTTTCGTATGTAGTTATTTTTCGAAGTGCTCACCCGATGATCTGATCATCCTACCTCTTGGGGCAAAAAATCACTGCAAAATTTAGTTTTTTTTCGTATGTTCAATTTTGCGATTTTCAGAAAAAAAATTGTCAACTTTAACGAAATGTCTGCTCCTCTCTCTCTCTCTCTCTCTCTCTCTCTCTCTCTCTCTCTCTCTCTCTTAGCGTAATCATCGCATGCATCATGAACGCTTCTAATTTCATGGGATTACATGTTAATAACAAGCAATTCCATTGTCATGTGCAGTCGAACAGACATCACATCTCGAAGGCATTCGCTGCTGTATACACGGATGACCTATTCAATTAGCGACGCATACTCTGTCCGAGGTCGAAAAAGATTCCTTGCGCCACTTGAGAACAAAGTTCAACAATTACCAAATATTATCTAGCACGAAGAATCAAGGAACGCAAGAGAAGTTAAGATTCACGTTCCAGGACTTCAGTGTGCTAATAAGTGACACACGATGGTTAAGAGATGATATTATAAATTTCTACATGAACATGATAACGGTAGATAATATGTGTAGAACTACACATCATGAGTGCGATATGCCATCAAACACGTCCGCTGCAGACACCCGAGGATTGATTCCAAAAACATCAATATGCAACTCTTTTTTTCTGGTTAAGCTCATGGATGAAAAGTTTGGATATCATTATGCTAGAGTAGGCAAGTGGTTCAAGAAAGTAGTGATTGCGGAGAAGGATTTGATCTTAGTCTCATATCACAACATTCATAAGAGGCATTGGATACTTGTTGTGATAGATCTTAGACGGAGAGTGCTCAAGTATTACGACTCGATGGACACAGACATAGACGTTGCCAAAAAGGTGGTCGCCAGCGTGGCACGGTATGTGAAGGACAGGTCATCAGAACAGGGAAAGGAATTGGATACCAATCGCTTAAAAAAAAAATTGTGGGTCAGCAGCATTTCAAAATAGAAGGACATAAATCAATGCGGGGTGTTTATGCTCGCGTATGCATCTCTTTTGACGAGAGGTCACTTGCCACCGTTCCAGTTTAGCATGGATGATATAAAGTGTATCAGACACCGAATTGCATTGGACTGTGTAGCATCGAGGTAAGAGAACTTCTCGTTTTTACAATTGTATCTGTGTAAATATAGATCGAATCACGTGGTACAAGGTGTTACTTCAACAGAGCAATTTGGTTAGGAATCAGACTAACAATTTGAGACCAGTAGTGATAGTTTCTAGTTGTGGACTCGTTTTTCAACATGTCAAACTGTAGAACCATTGAATAGGAGGGTAGAGAGACTCTGACGCTACAGCCAACAACAGTAGAAAGTTCTAAATCCTTTTCCAATCAGGTACCTGATTATCCGCGATAATTCCGCCAATGACATTCATCCATTCACATACGTTCGTGATAATTCCGCAGATGTCATCGAACAAGGTCGAAATTCTGAATTTGCCAATTCATATATTTTCTCACTATTTGCTTGCCATCAAGAAAACCAACAGTGCCATAAAGTGTGCCTTTCCCTTTTCTGGCTAAAACCCAAAGAAACAGAAAAAATATAAAATGGAACTTCATCATAGGACCACACCGTATATCATGTAAGACATGTGAGCAATGAATCATGACATACGATATAGAATATTATATTATATGGTGCATTTATTTATGATCTATGACTTGCAACCCTTGCGGTCCATAATCTAACGCATGTGATGAATTCCTAAATGACACATGATCATATGGTCTATGTTCCTATCATCTATGATATATAACCGTGGTCTAGATCCCTTTGACCCAGAAGTTATGATGTATGAAATATGATGTACATGTTTGATCTATGGTCTATGATGTATGATCTATGGTCTATGATGTATGATGTATGATCTATGGTTTATGTATGTGATGTATGATGTATGGTCCATGATGTATGATGTGTGATCTATGATCTATGATCTATGATGTATGATGTATGATGTATGATATATGATCTATGATGTGTGATGTATGGTCCATGATGAATGATGTATGATATATGACCTATGATCTATGATGTATGTTCCACAACCCATGCGACACCCGTTTTTCCACCATAAAACACAAAAAATTTAACGGTGTCCAATTTCGTGTTTTTAGGAAAAAATATCAGTTTTAACGAAATGTCAGTTAAAGAGAGAATTTTGCATGAAAACATACTTTTGCCTTACTGTTTTATAGGTTTTTAAACTTGTGTCTTTAATTTTTTTTTTTGTAAGTGGTTAGTATGATCTCCACTCTATGAATTGGTGGCAAGTTTGGTTAAAATGACCCTTGCATTTTGTTATAAATGGTCTAAGAAGTGGTTTGAAAATTGAGGCCTCCGTTAACCATCTCTCACTTTCACGAGACCCTTGGACGAAATTCGCGAACCCTGATTACCGTAATTATCAGTATCATCCTACACCGGGGTTCGTCGTCATTGAAACCGACTTCCCTCCGTTCTATCTCCTCCTCCCTTATCACCTATGAATCCCCCCCGGAGGCGGCTGCGGCCTAGGCCGCGACCCCGCGGCCATGGCCACGGTCCACGACCATGAAAAAAAAAAAGGGTAACTTCGGCGCAGTCACGAAAACAGTTTGTAATTGCACTTCAAGCAATTCCGCGAATACAATACACCCCCACGCGACCCCACCGGACCCGAAACGTAGGTCATATACATTCAACATTACCGGCCCTTTTGCCTCAAGTGCAATTACAAACTCAAACCCTGACTGCACCGTAGTTTTCTCTATAAAAAAAAAAAAAAAAAAAAAAAAAGGAAAAACAATATGTTATGCAAAAAAATATACTGAACAACTTTTGCCTTGTGGTCATATCCAAAAACATTACTGAATTTAAAATAAAAAAACACATAAGTTTCATAGTTTACCTTAAAAAAAAAAAAAAAAAACAGTTTTTGCCTAAGGAAAATTAGTTTTTGAATTTTTAAAATTCGAAGACAAACTCCAAAAATAAAATTAAAAATTGCGCAATTTTTTTTCCAGTCTAAAACAATTCCTAAAAGTCGTGGCCGCACCTGAATGCGGCCGAAGCTGGGGCGACCGTGATCACGACTGCCCTCCGAGTTTGACCTCACAGCCGCGGCCACGGGTGTTGCATAGCCTATCACCATCTGACGGTAGTTCCCTGGGATTCGATCGCACTACTTGCCACGGAGGTCGTGTTGTGAGTGCTATCAATATAACACTTGCGGGGCAGCAGGATTCGTACGACGGAGTCCGACCCGCTCTGAAGCTGAGCACCAAGAACACAATCTTCGACAGAGGCCGTCCACTTCGGACTCAGAGATCTGTGAAACCTGTCGGCGACAAGTGTTTGAATAGAGAAACACCCACTGTGTCCCATTAGTGCACCAGGTGCGAGCCCTGCCGAGTCGACGGGGCCGGCGAAATTAGCCGCTCGACTGTAAAAAAGGCGAAACCCAAAACCTAACCCTACACAAAACCACTTGCAGTTCCATCCCTGAAACTTGCACTGGAGATCTCAGTTCCGACCTGGGACTCCACCCCACTTTCCTAAAATCCTTGGCAAACCCCTAGTACGCACTTCCGGGCCCCCTATCACTCCGGAAACAGGAAGTCGCACTGGGCCTGAGGTTGGGCTTCACAATACATCTTCCTTTATTTGAAGTGATGCCCATTGGTCTGAGGGGGCGCCAAAAGCAAGAAAAAAAAAGATGTTCAGAAAGCAACTGAGAAAATATGGTACAAGGGGTGTGACTGCTGAAATACCAAAGGGCCTCCACACTAGAAAATCATCGTTCCACCACACCCTAACGAGGGAAAAGTGGAAATCGGAAATGTTTCCTTATGTGGGGCGTGTAGGGTCCGACCCTAAAAAATAAGTGCGCCCCAGGCAAATCGACGAAAATCTCAAGGGTGCCCCCGAAGGTGATGTGAAATGTAAGGGGAGGACCTTACGGAGCGCATTATTTACCGAGTTGGATTTTTTTTAATTTTTTTTTTCCAGACAAAGCAGGATTGTTCCTGGTTCAATCTGTTCGTGTCCGGCCCTCCCCTAGCACACTCGCATCGATGGAGACATGGTACCGCAGTCTCGAGTGTCGTTGCGGGGCCATGGTAGCCATTGGCAAGCGGCGAGGGAGTTGGACAAGAGGA